AAGAAAAAAAATTTAAATTTTATTTTTCATAATATTTTTTTATATTATTATTTTTTCCACATCATCACTTTTTGACTATATTATCTTCCACGTGGATTATTAGATGACATGTCATCGTGTTCCCGTTAGTTAACAGTACACATCACTAGATTTTTAACGGAAGGATCAAATCGGGGTAAAAATGGTAAACAGTAGGGATCAAATCAGAGATTTTTTTAGTTCAGAGACCAAATCGGGGGTCCGTACAATAGTTCAGGGACCAAAAAGGAGTTTTAACCTTAAGAAAATCGTGTTTTGGGGACTTTGACAGCGAACTCTCAAGTACTCCCTTCCGTTCTTAGTAAGTAATTTTAATTTTTTTTATTTAAAAAAATAAAAAAAATTATTTAATATTTATATAATATTAACTACTAAAATTAATTGTCTAATTTTTTATTTAAAAATATAAAAATTCATTTAATATTTATGTAATATTAACTATAATGAACTTTCTCCTTCGGTAATTGATAAAATCTCCTTTTATTGAAGTTCTCTTATTCTACTAAAATTTATATCATCCAACTTTGTCTGGTCAAATTTTCTTTAATCATTTTCTCTCATATTGTTTTATTCTCCAATGGAATTATATAGTATTTCGAATGATTATGATAAAATTCTATAAAAGTCCTCCCAGATTGTTGAATTGGAATGAAATATAATTAAAAATATTTAACAGAAATAAATTTTCTAGTTTTCGAAAAATATAGTTTTGTGCCATCGTAAGTCTCATCGGTATTTGAAAGAATAGAATGGTGAAAGAGGAGAGAGAGGCGTACTGGCTGAAGTATATGGGAGAGGATATACATGAGGATTGAGAATGGTAAAATATAAATAAAAGTTTTAAATATTTTGTTATGAATAGAAAATAGATAATTAAATTTGAATATTTTAAATAAATAATGAAATTCATTAAAAATAAATTGAGAGAGTATGTTTGTAAAAATATTATATTTTAGAGTAATATACTTATATATAAATTTTATATATCACATTTATATAAAATCTTAATTATTTATCTCTTTACTTTTAATTATTAAAATCTATTCATTTTTATTATATATATTAAAGATAATTATATTTTATTTAAAAAGTTATAATAAATTTCAATTATA